ACTGTGTCTGGCATATCGAATACTCTCGGTAGCTTGCTGGGCTCTCCGAGAGGGGCGGAGGAATCGAACTCGGGTCGGCCATGTTGGCCGCTTGTAAGGCGAACGCCCTACCCGCTGTGCTATCGCTCCACTTAGCAAATATATACAAAAAGTAACCAGAAAAATCAATAAGGCAAAATTAATTATTATATGGCAATAGACATGAGTTGACAATAGAGACATTGTATTCCCTGAGAGTTTTCAAGTACTCATGGAACATTCAAGAAGTTTATATCATAGGCCACAGAGAAAATGTTAATAATTTATAAAAAGTAGAAATTGTGAGGCACACTCTATAATCATGAGACGAGAAAGTGAAAAATAAATGGGGAAAAAAATCCATAAACCCAGGATACACTTAAGGCTAGAAATTTTAAACCAACTTTCTCGAACAGTTTAAATGCAAACGACTAGTGAACTAGAATGTCAAGACTTTTAAGAAAGCAACAATGAAATATCACTTCTCAGAATTCATAGTGAAAATAAAGCAATGCTCATAAGAAAATTGGAATAAGGAAATGGTAATTATAAAACTAATCAAAAGGATAAAAAAATCTAGATAAAGATAAAAAGTTATTAGTTAATATGCTAGAGCCTAGCTTCTTAAACCATGGCTCACAACTCCATATAGGGAGCTATGACTTTTAATAATTGATAAAGACAAGAATACCTTCTTTGGGTCTGGGCATGGAGAATTGTAGAGCATTTTTAGGGACTCTATTAGTCCCTCCTCCCCTGTTGTGCGAACGTTCTTTCAGTTGGAGGCAATGAGACAAGGAACGCGAGAGAAATTATTATACCTCATGTAGTACCACCAGACTCTCTCTGATCCTGTGACAAAAGGCAGAGCATCCTAAGGCCTCTGAAGGGCGCAATACAGTGCCATCATCTAAAGAAGTTACATAAAGAACACTGAGGCAGCAAAATTTGTTTTGTTTCCTTGTGTCTGCAGGCCAGTAATTTTGGCCCCCAGAAAGAAGATACAAAACCAAAACCGAAACCATTCTTGTGCTACAAGCACTTGGATTTGCATCCCAAAGACCAGACTGGGCTAGAGCCTGGAATCTACATCCCTAAAAATAAGCTGGGCTCCATCCCGGAATTTACATGTCAAGGATCAGGCCAGGCTAGCACCTGAGATCTGCATGTCAGACTTCTGTGAGAAAATGAAAAATGCCCCTTTCAATATACTGAAATTTATGAAATTATTTACTGAAGGCAGTTTGAAGGGGGGGAAATGTTTAGCTTCATCGAAACCAGTCAGAACACATGAGAAATCTCACCCATTTTCATGGGTCCCTATGTTCCTGTGCATTGTGCGGTACAGTCTACATGGGCTCATCATGATGGCTCAGTCCAGCCCCAACACTCCCCCACTTCCTTTGGTTGTTGATGGGGACCTTGCGATAAACAGGCCACACACACACACACACACACACACACACACACACACACACACACACACCTGGTTGTGGGGTTCACACATTTAGCTGGGGTGTTTACTTAGGGTTGCACACCAGTTTCCCCATGCTGAGATTCGCATGCCCTTAGGGATGGTGTTTGCATGTGTGGACACTTGGGGTCACGCTCTTCAGTTGGGGTATCCAAGTTATGGTTGTAGTGCTCATAGGCAGTTGTGTTTACATACACATGCATACACACCAGTGGCGATACTTTGTGGCTGTGGCACTTGCTGCTAGTGAATCACAGACAGCAAAGCTTTCAGGTCAGCGTATGACAACACTAAGGATTTGAACTCATGACCCTCTGTTTGCAAAGTAGGTTCTCTCAGCCAATGCACTATCCTTACCCTAATTCCATCCTTTTTCATTAAAAATCTTTTTGTGTTTGTTTTTTTTTTCTGGAATTTGGTTGTTTTTTTTTGTGTGTGAGGGGCTGAGAGGTGTTTGTTTTGGGGCCACACCTGGTGATGATCAGGGTTTACGCCCGTTTCTCTGCTCAGGGATCATTCCTGGTAGAGTCGGGGATTATACCAGTTTAGAAGCTAAAGTCTGATCCATTTACAGCCAGGTTACCTTTCCTGTGTCACAGATGTTGAAGCAGGAAGCAGTGGACCAGGCAGCCCTGGAGTTCTGTGTCCCTGTTCCCCAAGAAAGAGAGCACTTAGACAAGGAGTCTTAAAGAGAAGATGGGGAAGGTATGGGGCACCCAGGTACCATACGTGCAAGTGAGGTTTCCGGTCAGTGCTGTTCTGATTGGTGAACTGTTGCCAAGAAGTGACTGGGTTGAATTTCAGTTTCTGAGAAGCTGACTTAAGGCTTCTCTTCTGTTTTTACTCTTCCCAAAGGTGGCCACATCCTAGCATGCCCCAGGTTGCCATGCCTGGGTGGGGAGGGTCCTCAACAGCTTCATGACTCTGATTCTTACCCAGACTCAGGATGGCACCAATTCAGTATTTTTTAAAAATTTTTTATTGTTTAATTTTTTTTAATTTTTTTTTTTTGCTTTTTGGGTCACACCCAGTGATGCTCAGAGGTTACTCCTGGCTTTGCACTCAGGACTCATTCCTGGCGGTGCTCAGGGGACCATATGGGATGCTGGGAATCGAACCTGGGTCGGCTGCGTGCAAGGCAAATGCCCTACCCGCTGTGCTATTGCTCCAGCCCCCAATTCAGTAAAAGCAAAGTAAAAGTAAAGGCCCTCCCATTGATCATCGATTTGCTCGAGCGGGCCCAGTAACGTCTCCATTGGAGACTTTGATTTTACTGTGTTTGGCATATCGAATATGTCACTGGGAGCTTGCCAGGCCCTGCCGTGTGGGCGAGATACTCTCGATAGCTTACCGGGCTCTCCGAGAGGTGCAGAGGAATCAAACTCACATCGGCCATGTTGGCTACGTGCAAGGCAGACGCCCTACCGCTGTGCTATCGCTCCAGCCCCAATTCAGTATTTTTTAAAAAAATGTTATCTATCTCTCCTCTGATGGAACACATTGGGTTTCTATGTAATAATCTCTCATTCTTTAATCAAAAATAATGCTCAATGTATATCAAATAGCCATCAGTATTTTTAGCATGCTCAAACCAAAAGTTCAACTGCAGACATTTTTATTCTGAAATGCAGTTTTGACTCAGTGCTACACCCAGCATTGTTTCCTAGCATTCTACAGACATGTCCTACAGTAATAAGGTATTTAATTAAAGCTATTATATTTATGTAACTATCATCCCGATGGCAAAAAAAGTCAATGACATATTTTAATGTAGATAATTCACACTATTAACAATAAAATCAATTAATTACTGACTTACAATGTGTAAACCATCCTAATAAACATGTAAAGGGGGTTGGGAGAGAAAGCGTCTTGTTGAGGTTGAATTTCCAAATGTTAGAAAGGATTAAAGAATTAGGGCAATCAAGCCACAATGTGCACACAACAGAACATCGCCAAATTCCTTGTTACTAAAAAAAAAAAATTCTCTTCTCCTTAAATTCCCTCAGAGGACATACAACCAGAGATTACCAAGGGAAATATTAGAAAAGCTATAAATGATGCTTAATCTTTGGGCTATAAACTGGAAAATTTTAATTAAAAAACTAAGCCTCTCATTTTAATGATAGATTGATATGACTTGCAAGAAAAATTGAGGTTACTTTTGTTATTAAATAAATGTTTAGTGTGGCATTATAGAGCAACTACGGATTTATATCCCTAGTGAATATAAGGGGGAAATTAAGCCCTGAGGGAAATGGTAATTGACTAAGAAAATGGAGACAGTAAGATAATAATTGCGATGTAAATATTAAGTGATAAGGGCTATGCTAGGGGAGTTTAGAAGGAGGTGATCATAGAAACTATTTTGCATTTTAATTAGTCTTTGTAGAGAGGTACAGGTTACATGGCAGAGACGAAAACAAAACAGTTGAATAGATAATTTCAAAGAAAGTGAATATGAGCAATGATGGGAAGAAAATTGAATGAGTTTGTAGAACTGAACACACAGAGAGACTCCAACAGTAGAAATAAGGTACAGGTCTGAGGAATTTCAACTTTCTCATAAGCAATAAAAACCTATGTCCAAAGGGTAATTTTATGAAAAGTTGCTGTAAGGTTATAATTGTAATGGTGGGAAAATTCATTTGGGTTCTGGAGGAGATGATGGAAAGGATGTGTTAGTAGTCCAAGTAAAAGATTTTATTGAGCTTGAACCTAGCTCAGCTAGAACTAGAAAAGAAATGGTTTAAGTGTAAGTATATAGAATGAGACTTAATGAGTGTGGATACTGTCACTGTCACTGTCCTTCTGTTATTCTTCGATTTGCTCAAGCGGGCCCAGTAACGTCTCCATTTTGAGACTTGTTGTGTTTGGCATATCAAATACGTCACGAGTAGCTTGTCAGGCTTTGCCAAGTGGGCGAGATACTCTTGGTAGCTTGCTGGGCTCTCTGAGAGTGAGTGTGGATAGTCATTGCATATGCAGTAGCAAAGACAGTGTGCGAAAATATTGACTTCTAGCTAACGATGCTGAAGTAAGTCTTACCTCCAGTTTTTTTCAGAAGTTGACCATTAAATGGTTGAGTCTTGATTACTCAACCATGAAAAGTGGTGCTGGACCCTAAGCCCAGTCTCAGCACTTCAAAATCCTATATTTCCAACATATATGCTCTCAAATACTTTTAAGGCATTGCACTGAAGTTTAAGGTCAAAACGCCTGTCAAAAATGATGCAGAGGTTTCAAGTTCAAGTAATTAGTAAAGTAACACTACCAATCAAAACAAAGCATAAAATATGGGGAGGAAGAGGTGATTCAGGAAGATGAGACATAAATTAGATGTTAAAACACCCCCTCCTGTCTGAAGTTTACTGTGTTTTCGGTAATGCTTCTTTTGCATATCATTTTCAGTAAACTATAGTCCACCCTTTTTTGTCTTTCCAGAGCTGCTGTATTCTGTGATGAGCCATTTTCAATTTAACTCATTGAAATTCTCTTGTTTAATCAGGTGAAAAGTTTCCTGACAAGAAACCCAAAGTGCAGTTAGTGATATCACATGAGGATTCAAAACTGACCATTCTAGTGAAGCACATGAAGAATATCGTAAGTTCACTCAGGCTACAAAACAATATGTCAACTTCTCTCTAAAGAGCCCTTGTCTCCTGTGGGTACTTATCAGTATTGTGAGAGGGATACTTCTGGCCACCAGGTTTAAGTAAGGAGCAAAGAACCCATTTACAGAACTCTTGCTTCTGAGTGATTTTGATCCTTAGAATAAATACACCATTTAAAACATTATCATTTATAAATAAACTGTAAAATAAGTCACAGAGAGAACCCTAAAATGAAAACTCAGAGCTACTGAAAGGAAATATCAGAAAACTTTTCATATTTTTAGTCTTTGAAAGGCTTTGAGAAAGCAGGGATACCATGTAGGATAGCAAGAATTTAGGTAGTCAGACTGAGCTTGCCAGAGAACTGACTCACCTCTTAGATAGATGCTTGTGTCCTTGACCTAGGAAGTCAAGAGCTCTGAGAATCTCACTCGGATTCCCATGGTACCCTTCATACACCCCACCACTAGAGTTATCACAATATGACATAAGTGCTCACATATATTTCTTCTTAAAATAATTCCCCATTGTTTGAGGACAGGAATCCCATCTTTGTAACCTCAGAACCAGAATCACAGCTGTAATCAATCTGAAAGGAAAACAAAAACCTGCCCTTCTCTAGAGAGATGATGAAAAATGTTGATACACAGGTTTGCATGTGGGAGCTCCAGGTTCAATCCCTAATACCCAGGGTTTGCCCCCAGCACTGTGGGAGAAACCCTGAGAGTAGTTTCAAGCACCATCAGCAATGGCCCCAAGAACACACAAACAGGCCAGAGAGACAGTACAGTGGCTAGAGCATTTGATGTCCATGAAGCTGATCTAGGTTTGATCCCTGGCACCACATACAGTCTCATGAGCTCTGCCAAGAGTGTTTACTGAGTGCAGAGCCAAGAGTATGTCATGAGCACTGCCAGGTGTTGCCCCAAATCAAAAAACGACACACACAAATTCAGATTTATATGTACAAGTACCTTGAATGTTTATTCAAAATATGAATTTTGATTTAAAATATGTAAATAAACTTCCTGCATTATGTCGTATTCCTTCCAAAAGGTGGATCAAATTAGAGTATAAATGCCAATTCACATCATTAAGTGAGGGAGCTTTTTATGCCACTGGATAAGGGATCTGGGTGTATGATATATGGCTGCAGTGAACAGAGAGGGGAAGAACTGTCAGACTCTCAAGCTCCCCCAGTGTCCCTCTAGTCCTGTCAAATGGATCCGAAACATGAAAAACCTCCCCAAATATCAATGTGGAAAAGTCAGGCGTACCATATTATCTTTCTTCCTTATGCAGAAAAATCCCCCAGGAGGCACTTAGAAAGACATAAAGAAGCAAACACTTCTCGGTATGCTGTGCACCTGCAACACTCAAGGATGTGGTCCTATCTGTTGAGTGGGAAAGCAGTTGGCATATATACATTTACCAACTCAGTATGACCCAGACATCCCAGGACACTGCAAATCTGTGCTGTTTACAGCTGCAACTTTGGTTATAGCTGGGCAGATACTAATAAGTGTGTTTTCACAGAACTTTTACTCATTAAAATAATAACTTACAGTAGTTCTTGATAAGGTAATTGCCTTATATTGGGATATCAACTGTTTAAGAAGCTCAGATTGGAAAAATAGGATTCAAGTAGGCATAAATAAGCTACACAGATGTTCATGGACTTTATATATCAACAGAAATACATAGAAGGTAAAATAATAGGGAATTTAACAGAATGTGTATATGTTTGCTAACTAAAAACAGATAGAAAGAATTATATCTTTATTCCAGGAATGTTATGGCTCAAACATTTCATAATATTTCTGTTTAGATTGCCTTCAGATCTGGCATATAACCCACACAGTAAACTTTGTGATATTAATCAACAGTCGTGCCTAATATTTGATCAAAAGCATTATTAACCAACTTAGTCATCCATTTTATTCACCAGATGAATCCCCAAATAACTTTTGACAGTTTTCCAAAATGCATTTTACACTGAGATGAAATTGGATTACCAATAAGGATATTTACACTAAATGTATCACAGGCATAACGAGAGGGGAATGAGTGAATGAGCAAGAGTTTAAGATTTGGAATAAGTTATGGGTAAAAGATAACTGATGTAATGAAGTCTACGGAAAACTTAATAAACCATGTATGGCCATAGGTGCCTACATGGTGCCAAAGACCTCCCTAAGAAGAGCACTAGTGCTAATGAGTGACACTTCCGGGCCTGACCTCTCCCTCTACCCACTCATTTCTCTTCTCTCTGCGATCTTAACAGTGGCCTGACATTCATTCCTCAGTCTCTTCTATTTTTTTTACCAGATTTGTGGCTTTCAATATTACTTTCATGTCTTTGTATTCCATATCCTAACTCAAGCTTGGAATTCTCCCTAAAAAATACTCAAAAACACTGGTAGACATTCAATGGGCATCATGAGTGTCACACTCACAAAGTCAACCTCTGATTATCATTTCCCCAACCCTGTTCCTCTTGACATATTTCGCATCTGAGCAAACAGCATCTTGATCTCCTGGTTGCTCAGATTAAAATTCTTAGAGTTATCTTGACTTCTCTCACAAACTACATCCAACCTGTCTGTAAATTTACTTTCAAACCACCCCTCATCGCCCCCTCCCCTCCTCCTGGTCCTTGCAGCACTACTTTCCATCTCTACAGTTACCATACTTGGGTCAAGCAACCTCTCATCTCATCCTCAACTACCTCTTAAGAGGCCTCCCCAATTCGCCCTCATTGTTTACAATCTCTTCCTAGCCTAGCAGTCAGAACATTCCCTTAAGAACAGATCAGATCTTGCCTTTCCTTCCTTCTTATCTTCTGGGGAATGAGTTTTACATCACTTACACTGAATGACAGTCAAGGACAGTGAGGCTCTCCTGGGGCTCCCAATCTGGTCACTTTGATTTCTCCAACCTCACTTCCTACTCCCTCAATCAGTGCACTCCAGCCTTGGTGACTTTCTTGAGCTCATGTGAATGTAAATATAGTCCTGCCCTGGGACATTTGCACAGCTGCTTCACTTATCAGCAATGAACCTCCCCAGACTCCCAGCTAACTTGTCCTGCAGGGATTTGTTTTTAATTTCACTATGCACATCCCTTTTTGTTGCCATTTTCAACCTTCTGACCATACTTTGTTTTCTCCACTGCCATAACCCGAGATCTGGAATACTGGGCCAAATATGGAGGATTCAATGAATATTCTGCGAGGTGAAAAGACATTGAATTACTTATGAACTAGCCCCTTTTTCTGCCTTCCAAAAATGATCACAACAATTCTTACACTTTTCACAGCTTCAAGATGACTATTTCTGCTTCTCTGAAGAGACACCATTATGCTATAAATAATAGAAAACAATACATTTCTACATTTTCTTTACTCATTTCAAGCTTTAACTATTTGCTATCTGTTTTTGATCCTTTTATATTTTTACATGCCAAGGTAATAAGATTAAAAAAGCTGTTTGATTTTATTCTAATATGAAAAATTTTATGCCTACAGTTCCTTAAATTTAAGTTTTATAAAAATAATTCTTATATTAAATCTTTGAAGCTTTGCTTTAAGAATTCTCTCCTATGAGATTACTCAATTAAAAAAATTACTAAATATTTTCCTTTTCAAAGGAATAAAACATCATTTATTCTGGTGAATACAAATTGACAAAATAATACAGCTATTTAGCATGGTGGCCAAATTGCTTTAGAATAGTCCCATGTATATGACAATGGAACATGTAAAATTATTCCAGATTTGAAATATGTGTAATTCTTGCTAGCATTTTCCCATTAACCCCACTTTTAAAATACTCTCTTCTGCGGTTAGCTATAGTACAGCATGTGGGATTCTTGTCTTGCACATTGCAGACCCTGGTTAAATCTCTGGCATCTATATTTAGAACCATATGTATGGTCCTCTGTGCCCGCCAGAGCACAGAGCCATGAAAAAGCCCTGAGCTCCACTGGCTGTGGACCAAAACCCAAAAACATTTTCAAAATACAATAAAATGCTCTCTTCCATTGATATCTGCAGTGTTTCTCCATGGATGCTCTCCATGGATTGACATCTCTACAATGTTTCTCCTTATCTTATGCATTTCCCGAGAAGGCACCAGTTCTACAGCGCTTTCTTCTGCCAGCTCCAGAAAATGAGCAATGCAGAAGACTATAAAAGTAATCAATGAGGAGGCGAGGCTCTCTCCTCTGACACTGAATATACTCACACCATGCAATCTGTGTCTCTTCAAGTGTAACAAACTACTAAATTACTTTAAATGAGGAGCAAGTAATTTCAGAGAAGCAGGAAATACCTTAAATGGAATGCTGCTTAATCAAAGGCATAAATAGAAGAAAATGTGTGTGTGTTTGTGTGTTTGTGTGTGTGTGTGTGTTTGTGTTGGGTCTGACCCAACAGAACCATGGGTTAAACACAGTCTTTTTTTAATTTTATTTTTATAAAGTCTCACAGTGGAGACATTCCTGGGCCTGCTTGAGAAAATCAATGAACAACGGGAGGACAGTGACAGTGACAGTTCAAATATTTGATTACATTTAATATTCAAGCACCAATCCCACCACCGTTCCACCTTCCCTCCACCAGACTTTGGATGTTTCCATCCTGAACCTCAATCCATGCCCCAAATCAGAATCAAAATTATTTTGTATTGTTATAAATAAACCACTGAAAATGCTTCAAAAAAAACTTTTCTTAGAGGAGAGTGTGTGAAGATTGTTGTATTTCACCCAGAGGTCATTAAGCTCTTCTACAAAAGATTACTAACATGTTACTAAGGGTTGAGGCTTGTGTGCATATATATAGATATAGACATAGATATGTAAAAAATATTTCCCTGTAAGATTGGTTCCTTATACTTTAAACGCCATCAAATGTGGAGCGCTTCTCTTGGAGTATGAGTGGTGTTAGGTATGAGATTTGCGGCCACGCAGCACAGGAATAGTTTACTCATG